ACCTGAACTAGTGATAGAGAGTGAAGTAGTCGAACGCGTAGACCGCTTCACTTATCTGGGGAGTCTCATCAGTGCTGATGGACTAGTGACTGACGAAATCTCTGCACGGATACAGAAGGCTCGATTGGCTTATTCCAAACTTCGTCACTTACGGTGTAGGCGAGATATCCGTTTGCTAACCAACAGACGATTGTACTGCTCATTAGTTCGCTCCATCCTAACTTATGGCTGTGAAACATCGCAAGTGAGAGTAGACGATATTTGTAGGTTACTGATTTTCGATCATAGGTGTCTTCAAAGCATCGCTCGTATATCCTGGGACAGTCGAGTGAGCGACGCTGTTATTAGGAATCGGGTGCTAGGTAAGAATGGCAGATCAATAGATGAAGTGGTGAAACGTCATCAGCTGAGGTGGTTGTAACACGTGCTGCATATGCCTAACCCCCGACTGCCTCGTCGAGCTTTGTTTTGTAGTATAAGAATAGGTTGGAAGAAAGCTAGGGTCGACCAGACGAAAACATGGCAAAAATCCATGAAGTCATTGACAAGTGGACTAAGTCATGTCGGTAGTTGTCGACTACCTGGTTGGGGTCAACGAGATGATAATCATCGATGGTTAGAGACCCTGAGTGACATGGCTCGAAACCGCTTGCGATGGCGCAGGTGCATTTATTCTTTGTGTTCTCTCAAATCCAAATCTTTTGGATTCTTCAACACCTCTAGTTTTGACTTTCTAAACTTTTCTCATTAAATCATAATTCTTGAATAATATCTTCTAAATCTAACCTCTCCGATTACTCCTAATACCTTAACTACCTCTTCTATTATTGGATTTGAATTGACAATTGCAGCTCTGTGCCGATGTGGTATGGCAACATGAACTGATGTACTTACATACGAAGTTTTACGTTGCATATGACTGATGTCAATAAATATCGGTGTGTATGGCAAAAGTGATGAGTTGTCACAAATTATCTGCTGATGAAGTAACCGAGAACACAGGTGGGGCAACCGCATTGTATTCAGCCAAAATTACAGTTACTCAGAAAAATTGGAAAACCATATCGTAAATCGTTCATTTGCAAAATATCAGTCCATCATATCGAACGGGACTGTTCCTGTTGAAAAACATCAATCCATTGTCATTATACATGCGTTTCATACAAATTCCACTATGTTCCAACTCTTCCTTTCTTGATATTCCCTCATCTTCTGTTGAAAAACACAACGTTGACACTCACGTCATATACTACTTATAAGTAGCTCACACCACACTGAGACTTAATAAAATAATTATAGTAATAGCGGTTACAGCTTATTACAATATAATAAGGTGTAAGCGACATTTCTATAATTATTATTACAGGTCATCCAAACTCTTGGTTCTACAACCAACCCACTCATATAATATTCTTTCAATCTGTAGTTAATTTGATCACGTGATGATGTTTCAGTCATATATGCTTGAGATAGTGGAGAAAATGTGTAGTTCAGTTGGAATGATTGTGATGGAGTTTGGTTGTGTGAGTTGGATGTCGTTTTGTTTGTACAGATCATATTGTTCTTCTGAGCACAACAACAACATCATCAGCACAAACTACAAATGATACAAGTGAAGTATTGGAATTTCTCCACGTTTCACTTGTAGCCTGTTGTGGGAAACTCAAAAACTTGATTGGTTGTTATTGATGTTAAGCCTTTTGTTGTTTGCAGTTTTGTTTTGATTGTTTCCCCATTTGGATCTCTTTCTTGATGTTATGTTTGCCTATGATTGTTCTATATGGTTGATAAATTGAGTCACTGTCGATGTGTCTGTTGATTGCTGGTTGACATTTCAACATTGTTCCAATCGTGTGTGCTGCATAGTAGTCCGGGTGTATTGATATCAGGGAAGAAATAGTATGGCTTTCCACTGCTAATCCGTGTCCTATAATCACTTCCAAGGAATATCAATTAGTATGATGGCCTAATTATGAATATCGGCTTACAAATGAAGACACCCACTCCTTATAATTCTTGTCCACCTTAAAATCACGCAATGACTTTGTTAGCGATACACTTTTGTTTCGTTTTCTGAAAACATTATCGAATCAATCTTCTCAGTATATCCGAAAGAGGGCTCATCACTGACAATTCTCGAAATCAGGGGTATCATTCCCTGCAACGAACTCAAATAAATTTACAATAAATCACTATTCCAAGTCGTGATAACTGTCGAAACACTAATCATTTTTCATAGTGGTTTTAGAATGATGTGAAGGAATGTATCATTTGTTCCCTACTGTTATGCTTTGATTTGAATCGTGTGTGCAAAAAATTATTTAAAGTAGGAGGAATTTAATCTCAGCTTAATCAGCTCAATTGCTTGATACCTTTCAGTAATTCTTTCTGGTTATTGATGTTTTAGCGATTTAGTTTTCTATAGCATGAGTGTTCGGTTCGTCATTAGGTACTCTTGAAGCCATTACGCGTTCACCTTATTCGATAAAGGCGAACAAGACAATTACCAGAGTCCAGATAGTCTACCATGAATCCCAAGCTGAAGATAGAAGGCTTTGTAGGAGTAGAAAGTATATTCTAAAAACACCCAGCAAGCACAGTGCAATCAAGCACACAACTCTCGTTTAATTATACATCATAGAAATGTCCTTGGGACAGTCACAAAAATAGCACACTAAAATACACAGCAGCCAATCACAGACATGGATTTCGCTGGTGGAAAATGAAATCTTAAGGTCAACTGATCGGCCCATGCTTGCAAACATGAAATGCAAAATAAGGCATTTATCAAGCGAGCTCTTGGGATCTAACGTCCCCAACAATAAGGTCGCTCACCACACGCTTAACCCTCCTCCTTTTTACTGGCTTGGGTTTGACAGAAGCCCCGCAAGGACTCCAGGCGGATTTTTGATGCCTTAAAGATTCGGAGAAATAGTAATCATTTTATTAGTATGAAATGAGAAGCTCCACGTTGGGATCCCTGGTTTTTCGATGCATATATATATATCGTTGGTGAATTCAGAGGCAGGAATCTATGGGGCAGACAACATCACACAAGTTTAATACAGCCTTTCTACGGGATACCGTAAAACTCAATGAATTCAATACAGCCCTCACTAGTAGGTTCCAGGACTTGCAGGATCTACTCAGTGGAGAAGAAGCAACATTGGAGAACAATTGGGAAGGGTTTAAGGAGGCAATCACTTAAACATGTCACGAGGTTTCTGTGTCACAAGAAACACCAACACAAGGAATGGATCTCTGTTGATACTCTTGCAAAAATTTAAGAAAGGAGGAACAAGAGGGCAGCAATCAATGTCAGCCGAACAAGAGCAGAGAAAGTTACCACACAAGCTGCATACACAGAAGCAAACAGGGAAGGAAGATGAGCATAAGAGCTGATAAACGAAAATATGTGGAGGATCTAGCAATTACGGTGGAGAAGGCTGCAAGAGAAGGAAGCATTAGACAAGTGTACGATACAACGAAGAAGCTGGCCGGAAACTATCGTAAATCAGAACGACCAGTGAAAAGCAAGGAAGGCAAAGTAATCAGCAACACTGAAGAACAGCAAAATAGGTGGGTAGAGCACTTCCAGGAACTCCTGAATCTACCAGCTCCACTGAAAACACCCTACATCGAAGCAGCATCCACGGACCTCCCAATCGATGTTGGCGCATCTACAAGTGAAGAGATCAGCATAGCCATCAGACAAACCAAGAGCGGCAAATCAGCAGGACCAGACAACATCCAAGCAGACGCTTCAAGTTGGGATCACGTCTTTTTAGATGCATATATATATGTCATTGGTGAATTCAGAGACAGGAATCTATATAGTACGTAGCAGACAAAAAAATTTAACTACCATTTTAGCTGGTGGCTAGAACATGACGTTTGTCAGCGAATCCGAAGAAAAACAGTTCTACAACATGAACTTATTTTAGTTGAACATCTACTGACAATCAGAAAGCACTGGCTCCGCAACAGGTCTCAGCAAGACCTTCGGTCAGCCTGACAAAGTTTTAGCTGTAGAACTCGAATGCGTTATTCATGAATTCGCTATATAGTGTAGATTATCTCTGAGTGTACTTGATGAAAAACTATTTCACACTGGGTAAGAACAAAACCTGCTAGTCAAGATTTATCATTGCAACTTCTGAAGTCACATTCTACACTGGCTCATTAGTTTAGAATTTCAGATGTCAAATGCAATCCTTGGAAAGATCGTGAATACTCAGTATGTACAGATCCCATAGCAGAATGAAACAACTATTAAATGACTAACTAAGATAAGTCTCAGAATGCGAGACAATAAAATCATCACAAATCTTCTATATCATATTGATTTAGTACAATGGCGAATTTATCCCCGCTCTATTGACACCATTGAATTTGCATTGTATTGGGTATTCTTCTCTAAATTATTCATTGTGCTCATTATAATCAACTGTTTATGCACAAATTTCATACAACTACATGAAAACTACCATCTCTAGCCTGAAACAATCATACATTATAACTTTTCCCATCATAATTTATCACTTAGACATATATGTATATATTGACCAACTAGTAGAATTAAAGTAGTATATTCAAAGTATAGTAAAAAAAAATCAGACGGAACTTATAGAACTTTGCACATGATTGCATCTAATCTTATTGACATACTTGATTCGACAATATGTAAATGAAATTAGAATAAACAAAACAGAAATTAATCTATAGTTTGACCTCCTTTAATTTTATAAAACTAACAAACCCTAACTCAATATTGATCTTCATTTTCTTCTTCTAAAATGGTGGACATTGTTTGAATGTGATTTTGATTTCTATCAATAACACTGGTAGTTATAGTAACGGGCAGACATGGCGTTTTGTTTTTTTATTTGTAATGCAATAAACAATTCGACCAATCACAATCAAATGATCTTGTTACAGTTTAGATATATATACAGAACAAAATTGAGTCATACACCATTCTCTTTCTTTATATATGTATACATATATTTATTTATAAATCCACATGAAACATGTAATTTTCTTATAATTGATAACAATTGTTAAAAATGTCCACTACACATCGTCATTGGAATGATTCAAATTATCAACAAACAAATGCTAATCAAGAAGATAATGAGGCTAGTTATGTTGAACAACAATTTGAATTAGACAGAAATGTAATGAACAGTGTACAACAACAACGACAACAACAAAATGATTGTATGAATAATAGTAGTAGTGGTAGTGGTATTGAAATGAGTGGATATACTAATGACATGGTGGATTATGATCGATTAGATCCTATGAAAGCACAATCAGTTATTAATCCATTATTATACGGTATGGAACCGGAATTAATTGGATTTGTACAAAAACATCATGTTGTAATGGATGATGGAGCTGTGGTCAATAAAGCAGCAATGTTAAGAAAAGCAGCATACGATTCAAAAATTCGAAAGTATGTTCGTCTTGTTTTGTTTGTTTTGTTGTTGTTGATGATGATTTTCTGTTTTCCAAATAGATTTTCACTTGATCCGATCCATCCATGATTATTTAGATAATAATAATAATAATAATAATAATAATAATAATAATAATAATAATAATAATAATAATAATAATAATGCAAGTTTGATAAATAAATATTTTAGAAATTCAAAACAGTGGTTGGTTCCCTTTGATAAATTTGAACAGACATAATGAGAAGACATATTTTGTGAGATAGCACCATTTCGTGCTTTCTCGTCCATCAGTCACATACATACAAGCAACATGTTATTTGTGTAAATATGCAGTTTTGAAGATAAGGTCAAAATTTCTTATTTAGCATAACATTCACTCACTAGAACATCTAACGATGAGTGGTCATCAAATTGACCCAAAATCAGCCTTTAGAGTTGTGACATGTCATCAAAACCCACACACACTGAAACTACTCGAAGCTATCTTGATTGGTCGGAAAAATTCCAACTTTATGTGGTGTTCAAAAACAACTGTATGTTTGTTTACTTACCATGGTTCAAGTGAATGAATGTCATGCTAAATAGGAAATTTTGACCTTATCTTCAAAACTGCTGTATTTACACGAATAACATGTTACTTGTATATCTGTGACTGATGGATGAGAAAGCACGAAATGGTACTACTATCTCACAAAATATGTCTTCTCATTATGTCTGTTCAAATAAATATTTGATTTAAGAGTATTAAAGATTCCGATTGTGAAAAATTAGAACAGCGAACAAAAGTGTCGTTTTCGATTAGATTGTTGTCATCAGGCTCTATACTCTATATGAATACGTGAATATGTCTATATGAAAATGTTAAACCAATCAAGCCAATTTGAGTCAATAATCACAATGAAATGAAAAAGATTATGTCACTCACTACATATATAATAGGCAAAAGTACTGTGGTGTGCGCTACTTATAAGTAGTACATGACGCGAGTGAAAACGTAATGTCTGGCAGCAGCAGATGGGGAAAGGTCAAGAAAGGAAGAGTGGGAACACAATGGAATTTGTATGAAACGCATGAATAGTGAAATGTCAGACAATGGATTGATGATGGATTGAAGATTTGCAAATTAACAATTTACGATATGATTTTCTTATTTTACTGATTAACTCTGTAATTTTCGTTAAATATAATTCGGTTGCCCTCACCTGTGTTCCCCTTCACTACAGTACAAGTGGATAATAGGAAGACAGGTGTACTGAGAGTAAGTAGTAAGAAAATTATAAAATATGATCGGCTACCCCAGTGCATTCATAAGGAAGTATATGGTTGATGAAAAAAAAACGAAGTCAGTAATTTCAACTGTCCGAAAGAAGTCACTATTTATTAAATTACAATTCAACGGAGATATGGCCTGCGATACTCTGCAGGACAGATTAACGAAAATAATTAGTAGAACATTCTACGCAGCCAAACATGCACTGACATTCTCCAGTCGACCAGTGACGTCTACCCAAACAAATGATAAGTTACTGAGTTGGCTGTGTACTAACGAATTCTGCTTCTACTGTAGAGATATCAGGCATACTACCAGGCAGCTCAACCAACGAATGAGTGAACATCTTCCAGCATGGTTTAAGAAGGGTCAGTCAAAAATAATACGCAGTTCAATCTTAGCACATCTGGTTGATAGTGATCATATTGTAGATAAGTCTAGTAGATCTTTTCGAGTGATCTATCATATACCTCAATCATTTCCCAACGGATCATATTCATGATTACTTATACAATAATAATGCAAGTTTGATAAATATTTGATTGACAAACAATTTCTCGATAATCTCGATAATCACAATGTATACAGTTCGAAAAAATCTAGTAGTGTAGTGAAGGAGAACACTGGTGAGGGCAACCGAATTGTATTTATCGCAAATTACAGAGTTACTCAGTGAAATAGGAAAACCATATCGTAAACCGTTAATTTGCAAATCTTCAATCCATCATCAATCCATTGTCTGACATTTCACTTTTTCATGCTATTTCATACAAATTCCATTGTGTTCCCATTCTTCCTTTTTTGATCTTCCCTCATCTTCTGATGCCAGACATTACGTTTTCACTCGCGTCATATACTACTTATAAGTAGCGCGCACCACAATAGATGTTGTAGTCATTAGTATGACAACTGTAAAATTATTATGCATAAACGTAAACATATATCATTTTGATATGTGCTTGAACTATTATGAGTGTTTACCTTAATTAAGTCAGTGAACAAGAACGAGGATCGACAATGCGGCGACACGACAGACTACTCTTATCCGATTATCCCAAAAAGAGATTTGATGTGAAGTAAAACATGTATTCTACAAGCATCCAGAAAATATGAGGTCTGAGTGCGGAGCAGAATCACGGTCATAAAACGTTACAGATAATGCATATTTATACAGTCAGGTTGAATAGGCCTCCATAAACCTCAAAATTCATCCTTCAACATTTTTATACAATGTTTTGAAGGCTATCTTGATGTTAATCTTATGCCCTGTCTCAATTATGTTTTGCGATCGATGAACATGGTTTTCTATTTCCAACGCTAATCGGCTCTACGTCATACAATAGCCTTGAGATTGTTCGAAATGTATAGAGTAAATACATCACATTTTTCAGAACTCTTTCCAGCTTGCCTTAAACGGTTAGATGAACTTGCTACTGTTAAATGTAAAATCGCTTCTGAAAAGGTAAAGCTGGACTTTTACAAATCGTGCCTTACTACACATATATTTCCCAGACAATTTTCTCATTATTGATTTAATGTTCAGTCAAAATTTGTCGAAATATTACTTATTTTACTTTTGCCAGTTACCCTCAATGGAGCTTAGGCTGTCGTCGACCAGTATTCTCCAACCTACTTCTATCCTAGGCTACCCTTTCCAATTCTATCCAATTTTTGTTCATTCTTCTCATATATCTCTCTCTCTGTTTCTCAGCGTAATGTGTTCTTTGGCCTTCCTCTTTTCCTTTTACCCATGAAGGCTTGTCGATATATAACTTATCAATATTTGTGTGTTTGTGTGTGTGTGTGTGAATGTAGAAAAATTAATCTGCAATTTTTAAGTGAATGAAAAGAGTTGAAGAAGTAAGTCGATAATTTGTGTGTTTAGATAGGTATGGACTAATCAGAATTGAGATAATTGCTCTCCATTTAAATAAGATATGACTTCCCTCTTATATTATTCAATGTCAAATGCATATTACTTCTTAAATGCCATTAAGGCATCATGCAAATCCATGAGACTTTGTTTGTTGACAATTTCTTCACTATTCACTCAAACAAAAATCTCTTTAATTCAATGAAAAATGTTCAAATAGGTTGAAAGACCAAACGGCGAAATAGATAATAATTGTTTTGAGGCACAATTTTTCAATATACATGTGTTTATTACTCTCAGTAATTCGTTAATCGATTTAGTATCAGCGATTTCATTAGTGATGGTTTGGTTGTGTGTCTGTCCGACGAAATTACATTTAACGACGTAAAGTTAATCGCCCTCAATAGTGTTGGTTAACCAGCATGCCTGCTTTACATGTACGCCGCTGCATTTTAAGCAACACAAGGATTATCAAAAGAGCCAATATTGCTATCACCCCTGCCCCATACGGGAACGCACATGTTGTCTAGATTGGTCTACAGACAGGTAGACGTCGAAAAAGCACGCGCATGAGCAGCGGCCCCCGTTCGGGCACTTATGAATCAACAAGATCCCTCCAACCAATCCACAATCCTCAATCGGCAAGGGCGGTTTAGGAGGGCTAGACAAGGCGCCCCGAACGGATAACCAAGCCACCCAGAAGCCATTCCAACCGTCTGGCCTCCAAATGCCTTGCGCTGATACAATCGACCAGAGCTCTCAGACCACACATGAAGCTAAAGATCGAATTTGTCCCACAAGGTCAGCCGGAACGAACACACACCCATGGGGAAGATGTCATGGACTGAACCAAGTGCAGGCACTCGGCCAAGCTGGGTTAATCCTACAGAAGTGGGCAGACATCATCGGTGTCCAGTACCCTTTAGCACCGGATCACATAACCCAACTGGAGACCGTTGTTTAAGGGGCCTCGACGCCAGCTGACACAATACACTGAGATACAGAGTGTTTAGGACAATCACATAGGGTCAGCGTCAGTAGTCCAGGATCTTTACGGCTGCCTCCCCAAACAAATCGTCTAGGGCCGCCTTCAAGTATCCTGGAAAGCAATATCCCAATATTTCAAATTTACTTAGGCTCGATGGACGGGATTCAGACTTAGAGGCGTTCAGTCCTAATCCCTCAGAGTGGCTAATCGCATCCACGGCCTTGCGACCATGAACATGTACCATTATTCTGAATCATGCTAGGCACGGTATCTTAAGCGTTCGGAACGGCTTTTAGCCACAGCGCTGTAAACAATGCCAAGTTGCCTGACAGGACTACAAAGAGGTAGCCACCGCCACAACCCCCAGAAGGCTCCATTTATGCACGTCACTATCTATACCCATTTGGTTACCTTAATAGATTCATAGTTACTCCCATCTCAAACAGACTTTAACCTGATTATTTCCAAACTGAGATAACAAACATCACGTAGTCATATTTTAACATTCAGTTTCATTGGAAACTTGACGATAAATGACTCAACACATTGTGATCAACTTTGCATGATATCTGTGCAACCGATCCTTACATTAAGTTACATTATGAATATATTGTTCACCAACCAGTTCTGAATTCTACTAATGAATTCGAAACTATATATATACTACTTCACTGATTGATAGACAACACTTAAATCATGATGGCACTGTGAATGCGTTAAATAAAATCAATTAAAATACATGTTCAATTGTGGTGTGTGCTACTTATACGAACGATAAAAGTAGTATAAGGAGGGACGTGAAAGAAGTCTCACGGTTAGAAGAGGAAAACGGAAAGCAAATGGAGCAAAAGCAAGAAGTAAATGGAGTACCAACAGGAAGGAAAGGAGGCAGCAACAGGAATGGAAGAAGGATGGAGCGTTGGAAGTCACGACTCAAAGATGGTGTGCAAATAGAGTGTTCAATGTAATGTTTTCGTTTTTAATTGACTAAGAGTGTAAATTTGCATAACACAATCTTCCTCGCCTGCCTCAATCTTCTCACAATAATCTTGACAAACTTTATATACTAACTAATAATAAGATGTTCACTATTGATGATTATCTTCAACCGAAAATCCTTATAAGAAAGAATCAATAACTCTTCAGTTTGACTGATCACTTTCCAAGTTAACTACAAACTGCATAGCTTTTGGCCAATAAGAAAACACAGTCCCAAGTTTAGTGGATTCAAATGTGTTGTTATCCAGTCCTCGATATCAATTTTAAAAAAAATCTATTGTCTGTATGTATTTATCAACCGAATGGAAAATCATTATCATCATTTTTCCCCATTACTTGTCTTCTCTCTTTCTATGCAGGAAATTTCAACCACCTGGTGGTTTAAGTCTCAAAATGTTCATTGTTTTAATGATTTTAATCCTGATACTATTCCCATTAGTTATAATTACGCTAACTGTTGGCATTGTCTATGCTTATAAAATAATTGCACCGAATTTACCTAAAGCATCACCATGGTGGCGTCGTACACATATTTATCAAATTAATATTGAAACATGGGCAAATGATGTCGATGGACCAGTTGGTCGATTACAAGATTTAATACCACGTATGGAATATTTGTCTAGTCAGGTAGATTGTGCGTGTGTGTGTTTTCTTTTTCTTGTGTCATTCTATTTTGAATTGTAATTTTGATTATTGAAATGCTCAACCGACTGAAATTACACAACCATTGGAAAGCTGAATGTATCGGACGGTTGGTTCATCGTAATTATGGGACTCATTAGCAATGCATATCCTTGACCTTGAGAAAGGGAATTGAACACAAGGTCTTTAATGTTCCTGTTGGGGATGTTAGATCCCCGAAATTCGCTTGATAATGCCTTGTTTTGGTTTTCACGTTTGCCAGCATGGGACGGTCAGTTGACCCTGAGATTTCATTTCCCACCAGCAAAATCCATGGCTGTGACTGGCTGCTGTGTATTTTAGTGTGCTATTTTCTTAACCGTCTCAAGGACGTTTCTATGTCGTATAAGTAAACGAGAGTTGTATGCTTGATTGTACTGTGATTGCTGGGTGTTTGTAAAATATACTTTCTACGTTTACAAAGCCTTTTTACTCTATTTGGGGATTCAAGGTAGCCTACCTGGACTCTGGTAAAAGTCTCGTTCGCGTTTATCGACCAAGGTAAACTCGTAATAGCATCAAGCATACTTAGTGACGAGCGTAACAGTTCCATTAGCAGAACCGGTATGCGACATTGTGAACGTCTAATTTAAAATCGATCCACGGATATTGTGCCAATGTCATTCAGTGATAGTTCAACATTATTTCAATTCATAGACATTGTTTTTGATCACTTTATTGTGCCGACAATTTTGAACGATTCCCACTTCTTTTGACTGACATAACCTTATTTTATAACAAAGAATATTATGTATTGTTGATTGACTGCCTATCATGCTTTTTGATAAAATCTAGATTGGCGCTACAAGTATTTTACTCACTCATTTACTAAATTCTGATGTAAATGGTATTATCGATTGGGAGACAATTAATCAATCTATTGATCCAACAGAAGAAGCATTCAGTAGTATTTTACCACAACTTGTACAAAAATCTAAATCACCATTGGGTAAACGAAAAACTAATCAACCAATGAAAATTCTAATTGGTTTACCAATCTATGCAACAAGTAATCGACATGAATGGTTTCGTTTAAGTCAGTCTACAATCAATGATGCTTATACTTCATTCTATGTATGGACTAATGTAGAAGTGAGTATACATATTTTTGTGCTAAATATAATGAGTGATTTGTTTTCCGATTTGGTGAAACAATTAACCATAGTGGAAATGTTTTATCTTAACCATAAACTAAGCGTAATTTCTGTGAATCGGCTGATATATCGTTCAGTTGCTTTGGTTTTGGTTTATGGATAAAAGATAGGTAGAAGTAGATAGAAGTAGATAGATAGAAGTAGACTGAAACGGTCAATGTCAACAACAAACATGAATTTCATGGATACATTTAAGCTACTCCAACTAGTATTTTCTTAAGTGATATGCTTTGAATATATTTCTGACTCCCAGAGATAGATATTTTCTGGTAATCAGTTGATAAATTCAACTTTGAATGAAAGTAACAACTAACTAGAGACCTAGGCTTAAGTTCTAAGCTATTTGAATTTATGGAATATTTCTATGTTGTCGGTTGTCTCTAGTTCTTCCGAAAACGATTTATTAGGTCGCACTGATGAATAGGGAAAATATGAACTCAAATGAGGAAGAGAACATTGTTACTTCTTCACTGGCCATCTTCTCTAGCATTTGCTGCTGCGGTTAAGATATATATATATATATTTAGTTGTGAGGTCATTTTAACATGAGATTCAAAGGAACACAGGAGGATGTTTTGTAGCAGTAATTCAACGATATCATGTGAAACGAACTGCTCCTTTCCGTTCTTAGTACCTTCAAATGAATAGCCTTCACTAATATCACTTCAAATTATCAATATTATTATTATTATTATGATTACTATTATCCTACTAGTGTTTATTCTATGATGCAATCTTTGCCGAACTCATTTTTATTCCATATACACCAAAAATTCATGCATTCATTCACCAGACACTTATTGGTCAGTTAATTCTCTTATCTTATGTAAACTCGTCAAATCTTGTTTCATGATCACGTGATTCTTTTATTTTTTTTATTCTGAACAATTGATTGCTGCAAAATCTTCTGTACTATCTGTTCTCAAATTGATTTGAATCTTCCTTGTGTCAACAACTTTTCACAAGTCTTGCACTTACCAACATCATCGAATTACTGTCGCTTAATTCCTGAAGAAATCTCAGCACGGATACAGAAAGCTCGATTGGCTTTTGCCAACCTGCGTCACTTATGGCGTAAGCGTGATATCCGTTCGCTAACCAAAGGACGGGTGTACTGTGCAGCAGTTCGCTCCGCTCTCCTATATGGCTGTGAAACATGGCCGTTAAGAGTAGAAGATGTTCGTAGGTTACTGGTTTTCGATCATAGGTGTCTTCGAAGCATTGCTCGTATATCGTGGGACACCCGAGTGAGCAACGCTGTTATTAGGAATCGGGTGCTGGTAAGAATGGCAGGTCAATAGATGAAGTAACGAAACTTCATCAGTTGAGGTGATCAGGGCATGTGCTGCGTATGCCTAACCACCGACTGCCTCGTCGAACTATGTTTTGTGGTGTAGGAGTAGGTTGGAAGAAAGCCAGGGGCGGCCAAACCAAAACATGGCACAAATCCTTGAAGTCACTGACAAGTGGACTGAGTCATGTTGGCAGATGTAGACTACCTGGTTGAGGTCCGCGAGACGAAAGTCACTGATAGTTAGAGACCTTGAACTACATGACTCAAAATCGTTTGCGATGGCGCCGGTGCATTTATTCTTTGTATTCTCTCAAATCCTAATCATCTGGATTCGTCAGCACCTCTACGTTTGTCTTTCTAACCTTATCTCACTGAATTATACTTCTTGAATAATATCTTCAAACCCTAGTCTTCTTCATTACCATTAATACCTCTACTATCTTTATTACTATGGGATTTGATTTGACATTTGCGTCTCTGTACTAGTATGGTATGGCAACATGAACTTATGTACATACGTACGAAGTTCTACGTTGCAACTGACGGACTGTCGCTTAATCCACTGTACTTTCTCTTCGCTACCATCTTCAAATGACCCCATACAACTGTCCACCTACAGATAGATATATAGATATATACATATATATGTGTATACTATATCACATTTATGATTGTAAACAGCTGCCTCGTGTTCTGTCTCAGGCTTTATTCAAATCTTCATCCAATGCTTTTCCTAGGTTCTCATTTTTAACTGTCAATGAAACAACACTCTCTCGGTAGGTATTATTAAACAAACTTCAAAGAACACTTATTATTTTCAATTGGTTAAGATAACATTAGTCAATAGTATTGATTATTTTCAGCCTGTAACAGATCAACAGAAACGACATTATACATACAATTCAATTCGTCGTGCATACTATCGTCATGTACATGGTAATCCAAATAGTCCATTGTTGAATTTAAGTAATCCGAATGTAAGTTCCGGTAATTTTTTCTAAAATTATTTTTTTTTTTTGGTATGACCATCATTTACTAACAATTAATTGAACACCAGTTAAATTTTTTCTCATATTCAACAACAATCATATGGATGCATGTTTAGCGGCTCACAATTGGATTCCAGTATAGACGAATGATTGAGTGTGCAATGTAATAAATCTTCCTGTGTATTTTCGTAAATCATATTTAGGGCAAACCACATTCATGCGACGGAGATAGTAAGAAGCTAAATATTGTTTCACGGATAAATTGATTTCATGTGCTTTCATTTATGCAGATAGATATGTGAATAGGAAGCGTACTAGCAAAACAAAGTGAATCGCAGAAGGCGAGTGAGCCAACTCTCTCCATGTGTTTTATAGTCAGGAAATCATAAGCCAGTCAGTAAGCATCCACACTGTTGGGATATTCTCATCCAATATCCTAAGAGAATTATTGGTCAATTCCTATTGGTTAATTTCTATTGGTCAATTTTATGATTGTCCAATGGTTGTTTCTTATTGGTCGTCTTGAATTTCAGTGTCACTTCAAATGTTGTTTCCTATGTTAATTTAAACGACAAATCATTAGAGTACAATGAATGATTCAGATAGAAGAAACTTCTCGATTAATCTCACTCACTAAAACTGTCAGTCAGTTAATCTGACCTAAAAGTCAAGTGACAATATTTTTTGTACATTAGAATATCACGAACAGATAACTTGAAAAAGATTATAATCATGAATGAATACAAAATATAAGGACGCGAACTAGAATCATGGTGTAATGATAGTTTGATGAATAGTTAATATTTGCAACCCATACCATCCATCATAAAGGTCAAGTTTTTAAATAACTATGTTCCAAGTTGATATGGTGTTTGCCAATGAAATTGCTGTTTGATTTCCTCGGCATATTTTTTGATGATTAGATAAAATAATACTTGTAGACATTCTTAAAAGGGGCAAAGTTATTGTCACGAAAAGACTTTATTCTTTCTACCTCGTACATCCACAAAGCAATTGATAACACCTAATCTTCAGATATTCATGTTACGAATGCACGTAAACATATCATTTTGTTATCCTCAAATTATTACGAATTTACCTTAGTCAAAAAAACGAGTGGAAGGTTCGAGGACTTGACGACACGATATGCTACTCTAATACGAGTGTCCGAAACCCCCATTGAGAGAAAGAAGAAGACTTGATATGAAGTAGAACATGTATTCTACAAGAAGCCAGAAAGTACGAGGTCCGAGTCCAGAAGAGAATCAGGATCTCGGACTAGGGATCCGGGTCATATAATGTGTATTTATACAGTTAGGTCGAATAAGAACCAACACTGAACTATGTGACATTGACACTTAGGACCACTATAATATTGACCAGTAGGAATTGACCAATAGAATTAGACGTCCAGAAATAATTCTCTTAGGATATTTGATGAATATCCTAGCAATCCACTAGTAACAGTATCCAGTTAGAACAGCCGTCAACAGTGACACTGTCTGATTAAAGTGCAACGGACATTTGTCCCACTGGATAACAAACCAATAGTTTAACGTTTGATACAACAAGTAGGGGGTCTACTGTCTGATTCGTGACATTTCCTTCAATGTACACTCCTCAGCATCACAGTATTAGAACGGAATTAATGTCCAGTGTTCCGTGCGTCTAAAAACAGCATCACAAATGATCAACATCTGTGACGAATATCACTGGTACACACTGATTTTTTCAGACATTTTGAAAAACCGGCTTTCCAAAACGACTTTCCAAAAAAGGAAACCAATGAATTGAAAAATACATTTGATGTTATCAAATATCACTGATACAGTTTTTTTATAGGTATGATCTAGTCTCTAAACCCTTATCACTTCTGACCAGTTTAATTATGAATAAAACAAACATAATATCAAATATGGCGTTTTTATTTACTTTAATAGCATGATACAATTTATGTGCATTGAATTATGACTCACACATTGAACATGTGATTTGTGACTGTGATTAGGTAAATATTACTGTGATTCATTCATACTGTTCTATTGTTGTATGAGATGCAGTTTACAAAGTCAAATTTTAGTTTATGAATTTTGATAGAACAGTGAGAAGACGGAATTGATCTGAAAAAATGTGATGTGTTTTTGTGATATACACATTTCGAACAATCTAATCACACATATTTACTTTTATTTGTAACCATGAATCGATCAATATTAGATCACCATTAGAAACCTGGAAGCACTGGACAGCCATTTCGTCCTGGTATGGGACTCATCAGCAGTGCGCATATTTACTTGTCAAGGCATTTTACATGAAGATCAATAAAAGGTCAATTAAAAACAAAGTTCAATAAGACATAAAGTGATAATTGTCCATAAAGGAGAGAGTGAAAATTAACATAATATGGAAAGAATAAGAAAGGTTAGGAAAATTGTCACATTACCGAGGTAAATTCAAGGTTATGACTAATTGTTTCTGTACACATAAAAGGGCGGTTTTAATTTTCTAATAGTCAAGGCCTGCATAAACCTCAAAATTCATCCTTCAACATTTCTATACACTACTGAATGTGTTTAAGGCTGGCTAGGTTGGCAGGAAAGAAAACTCTTTAAAATTCACTCATACCTAGTGCTAAATGTTGAGCTCAACCTCAAAGCTTTCAGTATTTACTAAGTGTATTTTTTCTTCAACATTTTCGACTAATTTTTGTTGATTTGAATAAGTAAGTATTGTTTATAGGAGTACTCTGCATTACGGAGTTGTGAAGATTGTTAAGTTACACATTTTTGAAACCATGAATCGATCAATGTTAGACCACACCATTAGAAACCTGGAAGCACTGAAAGACGGCCGTTTCGTCCTGGTATGGGACTCATCAGCAGTGCACATCCACGACTCCTGCACCCCGCAGGATTCGAACCCATTACCTTCGGTATTGTGCGCGAACGCCTAACCATCGGACCACTGAGCCGGTATCTAACGGTGTTAATGTCTTACTTGATCGATTTACGGAGTTGCGCAACCTCATACACGGTCTTCGGTAGTTACTGTCTACACCCGAACAGGTTGAACTTCACTGGTCACGTCTTCCCACTGATTCTTCCATGATTTTTATTCAGTAAACTATTCAACTTGATGAAAATTTCTACTCATTCAGTTCATCAGATTGAAATTAAGAATATGTATACAGAAAATATATTGTCAAGTTATCTATCAAGTTGAATATTCTATGATCTGATTCATTCATTGAATGAAATGTTAACGCTAGTAGTATTTCACTATTCCTATATTCTGTCTGTAATTTTTTTTTGTTAAACCCCAAATTTTTTTTAGGTACAAATAAAAATGAATAGTGTTATAAAATTTTGGCAACGAAAACTTGAAATCAAAGGTCTTATGATAATGAATTCAAGTAATTTACTTGAAGAAATGTTTCCAGGTGTTAGGAAAATTCTCAACACTAATACTGATGGTAAGTCAATGTGAAAAAAAACCGGCAATCCTAATACGTGAAATTATCAGTCAATCATTGTTAGACCAGTGTGTGTGCAAAAAAAAAACACTAATCTCCATAATTCTAATTGAAAATATCGTAAAATTTTACTTACTAGTGATTATTAGCTTCGTAAGGAAATTCTCGGAGTTCTTCTAGTGAGAAGTCGTGACCAGTGGAGTGCAACCCCGTGTCGGGTGTAGGCTGTAACTACCAAACACAAATGGGTGAGGACTCGGGAAATCTGTAGATTGATCAGAGTTGGACATACACACCTTTGGATGCCGGACTAGTGGTCCAGAGGTTAGACGTTCGCACGCAAGACCTGAGGTCCTGAGTTCGAATACTACGAGTTGCAGGAGTCATGGATGCGCACTGCCACTACTGATGAGTCAGTCCCATACACTGGGACGAAACAGCCGTCTTTCAGTGCTTCCAAGTTTCTAATGGTTTGGTCTAACAATGATTGATTGATTGATGATTTCAATAGATTTAATTATTTACACAGTAAATTATCAGTGACATTGAGTTCGATTCTTCAGTTTTCTGGTTTTATTCAGTAATGATGAAGCGTAAATTTGTGCTGCGCGCTACTTATAAGTAGTATATGACGCGAGTGAAAACGTAATGTCTGGCAGCAGTAGATGGGGGAAGATCAAGAAAGGAAGAGTGGGAACACACAATGGAATTTGTATGAAACGCATGAATAGTGAAATGTCAGACAATGGATTGATGATGGATTGAAGATTTGTAAATTAACCGTTTACGATATGGTTTTCCTATTTTACTGAGTAACTCTGTAATTTTCGTTAAATACAATTCGGTTGCCCTCACCACCTGTGTTCTCCTTCACTACAAATTCAGTTCAAATATTGAAAATAATGATTATGATGTCAGAGAAAAGTCAACAATGACTTCGGCGGTTTGATCATAGTAAACTCTTATATATATTTTTTTAAAATATCTTCATTTCATGGTGTTGCGATAACACTGTTTCACTGTCAAGTAATAATTACTTCTTCTAAGAATTTCGTTAGAAGTTTTTTGTGAGATATACTCTTTTCTAATAGAAAGTGAAAACCTTTAACCTCACACTGGATCAGAAGACCTAGAACCCTACCCTATTTCGTGACAAGTATTGCACGTTTATATCATTGATTCAGTACTATGTAGGGTATATTTAAGATTAAGATTGTAGAGAATTGTTTTGAATATGGAATCCATTTTTAAAAAAATTCATTGATTTCTCGACAAAAATTCCCAATAAACTGACAATGATTTCAATGTCGATATTTCTTTTGTCTATACTGAAAAGTAATAAGTGTGCACGTTTTATGTAGTGAACGAGAACACAGGTGGGGCAACCAGATTGTATTTAACGAAAATTACAGAGTTACTCAGTAAAATAGGAAAACCATATCGTAAATTGTTAATTTGCAAAATATCAGTTCATCATATCGAACTGGATAGTTCCTGTTGCAAAACATCAATCCATTGTCACTATTCATGCGTTTCATACAAATTCCATTGTTTTCTAACTCTTCGTTTCTTGATCTTCCCCCATCTTCTGCTGCCAGACATTACGTTGACACTTACATCATATACTACTTATAAGTAGCTCGCACCACAGTTTGATCTTCAATCCAGTCATCAATCTCACTAATAGCTTATATCAATCAGTTGAAAATTGTTGATGTCGTCTATTTTTCTCAGGGACAACATTCAACACGACGTTATTCATTCTATATGCTACATATCAAATAAAAGACCCAACAACTATTCAATTTTTCAGTGTTATTTCGAAAGAGAAAGATGGATGTTGAAACATTAACATTTCATTACGGAGTTGTGAAGATTGTTGACTTATACATTTGAAATCATGAATCGATCAATGTTAGATCACAACATTAGAAACCTGAAAGCATTGAAAGATGGCTGTTTCGTCCTGATGTATGGGACTGACTCATCAGTAGTAGCAGTGTGCATCCACGACTCCTGCACCTCACAGGATTCGAAACCCAGGAGATTCAATCTTGTGCACGAACGCCTAACCTCTAGTATCCAACGTTGTAAATATCTATGTCTGATTAATCTAGAGGTTAAGCGTTCGTGTGCAAGTTCGAAGGTCCTGCGTTTCGAATCCTCCAAGGTGCAGGAATCATGGATACACACTACCACTACTGATGAATCAGTCCTATACACCAAGACGAAGCAGTCGTCTTTCAGCGCTTTCAGGTTTCTAATGGTGTGGGTCCGACCGACATTCATTGATTTATGATTATCCTATCAGATACAACTTTCTTTTTTATTTCAAGGTGAATTTACTGCTTTGTGTTCACCTTTTATCTAGATGAATTCATATGGTTTGCTGATGAACCGAAAATTGATGCCATAGTGAATAATGAACAAAAAGTTTGTTTGCATAAACTTACGCTGAATATTCGAGTACCAACAAGAAGTGATGATTTAAATTCACAAATTCAACAAGGTAACCTGGTTGTATATAAACACAGAAAATGTTTATATTGTCGAATTATTTCAAAAATTATTATTTTTTTGTGTTATAAATCTCTTTTCGTAAAACCCAGCTATTCCTATTGCTTGTAGTGTTCTCTGACAACAATACACTCAACAAGTGCCCAAATCAGAACACAGTGAAGCAGGAAATAGAAAATGGAAGTAAGAAGTTGAAGCGAAGGCGAAATAGAAATAACATTAGTTTCTTTATAGTTTTTGCATGAGAAGCTTCTGGAATCTAGTCCACGTGATCGACTAGCGCTGACTGGATTAGGTTTAGCCAATCAGCGCGCAGCTAACAACATGAGAATTGATTGAGTAGGAATGAGCCAATCAGCGCGCAGCTAACGCAATCACGTTTTATTCCATCTATGTTCCACTAACCATTTGCTTTAGTTGTTTCAAGTTTGTTTCATAATGATGTTAAAGAATGAAATATGATCAGTCTATTTGACATCCTGCGCAGAATTGATTTTTACTCCATAGAACAAGCGAGTAGTTGTCTGAATTTAATGGCTAAGTGAATAACACGATGGAGTTTCGAATGGAAGGTATGAGGTTCGAGTCCCAGAGTGTACATCAACGCTGAGATGTGGCGGCAAGTACATATACAATTTCAGACAAGTCTCAAATAGGATGAAACGTGCGTCTTGGCTACTATCCGCCTTTACTAATATAATTGACGTTTTTATTTTCGTCATACGCTAATGTCCATAGAATTTTGAAACACCAAAAAACACATGAATGACTGCACTAATTTTGTACACAATTATTGATTCAATGTCATTGTATCATACTGGTCAATATTAGATATATCTGAATAAGTCTGAAATCATGAATCGATCAATGCTAGACCACCATTAGAAACGTGAAAGAACTGGACGGCCGTCTCGTCCTGGTAAAGAACTCATCATCAGTGCGCATCCACAACTCCTACATCTCACAGGATTCGAACCCGGGAGCTTGGGTCATGCGCGCGGACACCTAACCTGTGAACCACTGATCCGGTATCCAACAGTGTTAATGTCTAACTTCGATCAATTCCCATACCAGGACGAAACGGTCATCTTTCAGTGCTTCCAGGTTTCTAATGATGCTGGTCTAACATTGATCATCGATTCATGATATCAAATGTGTAACTTAGCAGTCTTCAAAACCCCGTAATGTTACATGAATTTGACAATGTTAAGTGAATGCTTGCACTGATCACAGCTTAAATGTTTTCAAAATGTGCCTTTTATCAATCAAAGAAAGGGTAGGAAAATTTGTCGTAAAAAGTTTCGATTTATTTATTAATTTTCAAATGTTTTTAAAAAAAATCGATTATAATTGCTAGAAGAATGAGTAAGCGGTGTTGATCAGAAAAATGTGTGACGTAATTGTGTGACATATTTCAAACAATCTGGTCACACATACATTTGTAATGGTATTTTATGCGAAAATTAAGAAAGGTCAGTTGAATAAACATTCGAATTAATATAAAGTGACATTGATCAGAGAAAAGGAAGGATAAAGAGAAAATGAACGTAATCCAGAAAGAATAGTAAATTGTCACACTACCATAGGTGATCAAATGGTGTTACGGGAAATTCTAGGTTGTGACAGATTTTTTCTAGGGTTTTGAATTTGCAAATACTTTGTTCTGCTATCCTAGAACTTGATTGGTTGATGTTGATCTTATATCTGTCGTCGTTTGCTGCTTTGTTTTGATTGTTTCCCCCTTTTGATCTGTTTCTTGATCATATGTCACCTATGATTTTTCTGATTGGTTGATAAATGGGATCAATATCGATGTTTTTGTTGATTGACCTGAGTGCCAAACTTGTAAAAATTGTCTAGGGTTCTTTGTTCTGCCCCTATCCACTATTGTTCCAATCGAATGTGTGTCCATCATTGTTCTTGATTAGTTTATCTTTGAAGATGTTTCTTCTCTCTTCTCTGTGTCGTCTGCTTAACATCTTGGTCGCCATTGTCACTGTTATTAAGTGCTCTGATGTGAGTATTCTCTCAAATCAACAACGGCGAAACGATGATACCCTTTGACATAACAGCCTTATTCACCTCAATAGAGCCAAGCTTAGCTAAACAAACTCTTTCCCCGCTCCCTACCAACGACACAAATCTGCAAAAATATACGAAACTTCACAGCCAAAGTCTGTTAGAACTCATCGATCTATGCTTAAAAACTTATTTTCAATTCAACAACAGTCTATGAACAAATCAAAGGAACATCAGTGGGATCACCAATATCAAGACTCATTGCGAAAGCTGTAAAGCAGAGACTGGAAAAGTCTGTTTTTCCAGTGATCAAGCTAAAAATGTGGGTTAGCTATGTAGACGACACATTGGTCATTACCAAAAGGAGCGAGCTAGAGAACATCTACATTCAGATCAACAACGTCTTCGATGACATAAAATTCACAATAAAAAAAAGAATCAAACGACAGTCTATCATTCCTGGATATACGAATCACCAGAAGTAACACAGGAAAACTGGAGACTCAAGTATTTTGGAAGCCGACTCACAAAGACCTTATTCTCAACTACGATTGCAACAACCCAAGAACCCACAAAATCAACTGCATACAAACTTTGTTTAAGCGAGCGAAGACATACTGCGGCACATATGAAGCACTAAAAAACGAGGAAAAGTGTCTAAACACTATCTTTCAAAAGAACGTCTATCCACACAACTTCATCGAAAAACATTAACTGAAATCGATTACAGGAACCGATAAAAGGATCATCCTACCATACATAAAAGACATATCGGAATACACAGAACGACTACTGAAATCATTTGGAATAGGTGTGACACACAAACCAACAGAATCACTTCAATCAATCCTACATAGACCAAAGGACAAAATGACAAAGGAAGAAAAACCAAATATCATCTACAAAATAAATTGCTCAGACTGTGAAAAACATTACATATGACAAAGTGGACGGCGTGAACGCCAATTATCAATCAAACGCTACGACCATTCTTCGCTCATATCAATATACACATACAATTATGGACATACATTTGATTGGATAGGGGCAGCACAAAGAACACTAGATAATTTTTAGAAGCTTGACACTCAGGTCAATCAACAATCAACAAAAACATTGACATTGACCCCATTTATCAATCAATCAGATAAATCATAGGCAAACATATGATCAAGAAACAGATCCAAATGGGGAAACAATCAAAACAAAGCTGCCAACCACGATAGGCTTAACGTCACCAACAACCAATCAAGTTTCAGGTTCCCACAACAGGCTACAAGTGAAACGTGGAGAAATTCCAATACTTCACTTGCATCATCTGTAGTTTGTGCTGATGATGTTTTTGTGCTGAGAAGAACAATGAGAACTCCACAATCAAAACGACATCCATCTCACAGAACGAAACACCACAACGAAGAACATTGTTCTCTATTTCAGACATTTTTTGACATTCACTGGTCTCAAAACAGCTAGTTTGGCACATATTCCATAATCATTTGGATTTAATCGTCCAATTACCCTTCCTTCTGTCTTCCTTTTGTCTACACAAACACATGCAGTGAAATTCAGTATTCACTGATGAAACATGAGGGTTTTAAATGAAACTTGAATGCATCTTTGTTCAGATTTGATATTGTATGAATTTTTGACAAATATTATAGAGATGTTACAGAGATGTTGCAGTAAATCCAGAATACATAAAAAACCCCAGATATTCTACAAGTTAATCAGTTAATAATCAGTCTATATTGAGAAAAAAATTTTTTATAATGAATCTCAAACTAAAGATTAGAATGATCATAATATGTATGCACAAAATGCATACAATTTCATTTAACTCTAAAATGTCTCATATTACGATATATATATATATATATATATATATATATATATATATATATATATATATATATATATTAGGCATTTCGTTCAAAACAGTGGTTCCGTTTGATAAATTTGAACAGAGAAATGAGAAGACATATTTTGTGAGATAGTGTGATGCGAGCTACTTATAAGTAGTATATGACGTGAGCGTAAACGCAATGTCTGGCAGCAGAAGATGAGGGAATATCAAGAAAGGTAGAGTTAGAACACAATGGAATTTGTATGAAACGCATGAACAGTGAAATGTTAGACAATCGATTGATGTTGTTTGCAACAGGAACAGTCCAGTTCGATATGATGGACTGATATTTTGCAAATTAACGATTAATGATATGGTTTTCCTATTTTACTGAGTAACTCTGTAATTTTCGTTAAATACAATTCGGTCGCCTCACGTGTGTTCTCGTTCACTACAACAGTACCATTTCGTGCTTTCTCGTCAGTCACATACAAGCAACATGTTATTTGTGTAAATACAGTTTTGAAGATAAGGTCAAAATTTCTTATTTAGCACAACATTCACTCACCAGAACATCTAAAGATGAGTGGTCATCAAATTGACCCAAAATCAGCCCTTAGAGTTGTGACATGTCATCAAAACCCACACACACTGAAACTACTCGAAGCTATCTTGATTGGTCGGAAAAATTCCAACTTTATGTGGTGTTCAAAAACAACTGTATGTTGACCTTTGTTTACTTACCATGGTTCTAGTGAGTGAATGTCATGCTAAATAAGAAATGTTGACCTTATTTTCAAAACTGCTGTATTTACACAAATAACATGTTGCTTGTATGTATGTGACTGACGAGGAATTTCGTTGCCGATTTGTAGTAAGAGTTTCTGTAATTCCTTCTTAATCTCATGATTATACAGTTTTCAAGGAATGGTTTAGAAGCTATAATATGATATCAAGGCAGCCTTCAAAACATTGTGTAGAAATGTTGAAGGATAAATTTTGAGGTTGATGTTGGCCTTGGCTATTCGGAAATTAAAACCCCCCTTTTATGTGTACAGAAACAATTTGTTATAAGATTTTCAATTAGAGTCATAGAAACTAATGTTTTTACACATTTGAAATCATCAATCAATCATTGTTAGACGACGGCCATTTCGTCCTAGTATGGGACTCATCTACAGTGCTCATGCACGACTCTTTCATCTCGCAGGATTCGAATTCGGGACCTCCTGTATTGTGCATGAACGTCTAACCTCTGGACCACTGGGCCGGTATCAAGTTGCTTCCAGGTTTCTAATGGTGGTAGTCTAACAATGATTGATTGATGATTTCAAATTTGTTATAACCTTGAATTTACCCTGGTAACGTTTAAGCCTAGGGTAATGTGACAATTTTCCTACCCTTTCTTATTCTTTCCATATTATGTTAATTTTCTCTCTCCTTTATTGACAATTATCACTTTATATCTGTTTGAACTTTAATTTAATCGACCTTTTATTCATCTTCATATAAAATGCCTTGACAAGTAAATCTGTGTGACCAGATTGTTCGAAATGCATAAACCAATTACATCTCACTGTTCTATCGAAACAATATGAACGTCTCTGCTACTGAACTAGGGAGTATTAGACTGCTGTTCAGACTTAATACTTCATCTTAACTTATATCCAAAACGACTTGACTAGTTAAAAAAATAACGATTTTCTTTGATTCACACAGAAAACGCTTTTACATACATTCAGTTAGTAAGTCAAATGAAGCGCCAAACATGATATTCATGTACATTGGGTGAACGTGCCGCCGCACAATGGAACAATGAAATGAAATTATCAGAAAAAAATGAAGTTGTAATAGAAGCAATAACATTACGGGGTTATGAAGATTGTTAAGTTACACATTTTTGAAACCATGAATCGACCAATGTTAGACCACTATTAGGGACCTGGAAACACCGGACGGCCGTTTCGTCCTGGTATGGGACTCCTCAGCAGTGCGCATCCATGACTCCTGCACCCCGCAGGATTCGAACCCGGGACCTTCGGTATTGTTTTCGAAGTAACTATTCAATTGAGATAGTGTTCTGAGAAGAACAAATTCATTTGCTGAATTTAAACTTTGTGAGCTAACGTAACCCAGCACCATCAATCATTGCTGACATTAATTTTGAGTTCTTCAATCTTGTAGTTTGCAGCTACTCAGGTAGCTCAGTCCAACGGTAAGTGACTACATGGAATGATACTGTATGTATACTATTACTTTTCTACCAAACTACTTCTTTCTATATCACCAAGCATTTTATTCGACGAAATAGACGATAGTACGCAACACTGAACATATGTCATAATCACCTCATCAATCAACTTGACATTCTACTACTTTTTATGCAATATGATAGCGTGAAATGAACAATGACCATATATATATATGACGCGCCGTTCTACTATTAACAACTTTCTAATCATTCGTACATATTGATTACATTACACGTTGTCAAACTTATCTTTCCATTTAATTTTTGTTTTTCGCATAAAGCTATGAATAATTCACGATCGAGAAAATGTAGTCCAATTTGGTTGGTACAACAATTAAGCGAAGATAATAAAGATTTTGCAACAATTCAAAAATTAGCTTATTTTCTACCTGGAAGTTATTTAATGTTAGCTGGACATGAAGTTGACATAGTAAGTCGATTGTTGTTGTTGTTGTTGGGTTATTTTTGTGACTTAACATGAACACTGTAGGGTTCGTTACTAGGTACGCTTGAATCTATTACGAGTTCAGCTTAGTCGATAAACGCGAACGAGACAATGAAACAGCGTCCAGATAGTCTGCCATGAATCCCAAGCTGAAGATAGAAGGCTTTGTAAGCGTAGAAAGTATATTCTACAAACACCCAGCAATCACAATACAATCAAGCATACAACTCTCGTTTATTTATGCATTATAGAAACGTCCTTGGGACAGTTACGAAAATAGCACACTAAAATACACAGCAGCCAATCACAGCCATGGATTTTCCTGGTGGGATATGAAATCTCAAAGTCAACTGATCAGCGCATGCTGGCAAACGTGAAATCCGAAATATGGCAATTATCAAGCGAGTTTTGGTGATCTAACATCCCCAACAAACACCATTGAATGCCGACCTAGTGGTCCAGAGGTTGGGCATTCACGTGTAAGACCGAAGGTCTTAGGTTCGAATCCTGTGAGGTGCAGGAGTTGTGGATGCACACTACTGCTGATAAGTCAGCCCCATACATCAGGACGAGACAGCCATCTTTCAGTGCTTGCCGGTTTTCTAATAGTGGTGGTCTAACAATGACTGATTGATTAGTTCAGTGTGCTAAAAGCACTAATCTCCATAACTCTATTTGAAGAATGAAATTTTTTTACATAACATTCAAAGCAAACAGTCAGTTTGATAAACTTGAATAGTGTAATAACAGCACGTAGATTATCAGAATATAATGTGTGATGTGTATTAACGAAATACAACAAGTCCTTGTTGTAGTGCTTGCTTAAATCATTCCCACCTAAATCCTATTGCTTAGTATTCTCTGACCATAATACACTGGACAAGTCCCAAAGAATCACAAACACGGTGGGACAGGAAATAAAGATTATATTTCAAATAGCAAGGTTAAATGGAAATAAGAAGCTGAAGGTGAAGGCAAAAATAGATACAACGTTAAGTTCTTCATAGTATTTACATGAGAAGCTTCTGGATTGTAATTCACCTGATCGACTGGATTAGATTTAGCCAATCAGCGTGCAGCTAACAACACGAGAATTTCTACCCTGTTCTCCAAGAATCGACCAGGCACTGATTGGATAGGAAATTAGCCAATCAGCACGCAGCAACATGGGCATGCTTTAATTCCATCTGTGTCCCACTATATATATATATATATATATATATATATATATATATATATTTGTTTAAGAGTTTGTCTGATTTTAAAAGGGATGAAATGCATGACTTTACAGCCCATCACACTTTTGAAATGACAAGTTTATCTGATCATTAATTATTACATTGATAGAACGATACTGTTACGCACGAAACTTCACCACGTCGATTCATATGCTTGAACTATGATGAATACACCTTAGTCGGAAAACGAGAGTGAAGATAAACGATCCAGTGACGCGATAGGCTACTCTAATGCAATGGTCGCAAGGCCCCACTAAATGGAGGAAGGAGTCTTGATAAGACGTAGAAAGTCCATTCTACAAGCACCCAGTAAATATGAGATTTTCAAGCACACAAATCTAGTTTATTTAAACAATGATAGAAACGTGCTTTGGAGAGCCACAAAAATAGAGTACTAAAATAATATACATCAACCAACAATAATAGTCGAGGATTTTCCGGGTGTGAAATGTGATCGCAAGGTCAATTGTGATCAGCTCATGCTCTACAACATAAAATCCAAAATTAGGACCTTTATCAAATGAGTTCTGGGGGTCTAACGTCCCCAACATATACATGAATTTTCGGCCAGAGTTTTAGAGGTTTTGTGTTTTTACAAATTTGAAATCATCATCAATCAATCATTCTTAAACCACCGTTGGAAACCTGGAAGCACTGGACGGCCGTTTCGTCCTGGTATAGGACTCATCAGTGTCAGTGCGCATCCACGACTCCTGCTCCTCGTAGAATTCGAACCTGGGACCTTCGGTATTGTGCGTGAACGACTAACTATCAGACCACTGAGCCGGCATTCAACGGTATTAATACATGAATACTTTCAAATGTACTTCATGGTTTCAACTTATCAGTCTCTCAATGATAAGCCTTATTTGTAAACTTCTACTTGAGTGACATTTCTTATAGTACACATTATGCCAGTGTAATATGAACAGTAATCAAATGACTGATCAATCAGTCCTACACTACAATCTAACTGGTACAAAGGTCTTCTTTGATAGTTTTCAGCAAATTTTTGTTCGTTTGTTTTATCGATGTCCTATTTTCAATGTTTAATTAAGCCACTATTTTTAAATAGTAATCTAAACACATTTTATTCATTCTTTATAAATTTGACAGTATCCTTTAGTTTACCTAGTCGAATAAATCTTCGAAATGGCAAATATTTCTTAGTTTTTATAACTAGTTGTTATTTTTTGATCCATTGTGATAGAATGTTAGTTTCTGTCACGCCTGCAGGTAAACACGTCAACTTCATATACTTGGACTATTACGAGTTTACCTAGTCGGAAAACGAGAGCGATGATCCGGCGACACAACATAATACTCAAATCCGATTATTTCAACCCCCATATTTAGTAAAAGAAGACAAGACTTGATGTGAAGTAGAACCTGTATTCCACAAGCATCCAGAAAAATACAAGGTTCGAATCCAGAAGAGAATAAGGATCCCAGACTGGGGATCCGGGACCGAGCCCTAGTCCTGGTCGTGGTCGTGGTCATTAAACGTTACACATATTGCGTATATATACATTTTGTTCGAATAGGAAACAGCATCGAATTCTGTGACATTGACATTTAAGACGACCAATAGGAAGCAACATTTAAAGTGACATTGATAGTCAGGACAACCAATACGAAAGAACATTTGAAATGACATTGACAGTCCGGATGACCAATAAGAGACAACATTGAAGTATTTGAGTTTGACAATTAAAATGACCATAATTTTGACCAATAGAAATCGACCAATAGGATTTGACCAATAATTCTCTTAGGATATTGGATGAATATCCTAACAGTTTCATTTGTATGTGTTCAATCTGTTCAATGTGTTCAATATGTTCTAAATGTGTTTATATATTTTATATTGATTTTCATTCCATTGTTCCCTAGACTACCGGTAATGAACAATTATTAAAATGGTCATATGATAATTATTTAGATTATACAACTTATTGGCCTATAAATATTAATTTACCACAAAATGGTAAACAACGTTTACATGATTGGAAGATATATTGGGAAAAATCCTATGATCTATCATTATTGAATACACCAATTGAAAAAAATAATTTAGTGACATTTATACCAAAAGGTACATATAATCTATTTTGTATCTATCGTAATTATGATAAAACAATTTATCGTACATATTTTATTGTTAGTTTTCAAACATTGAATACTATTGTACATTTTTCAACAATATTTTATGATTTAATTAGTTCGCCGAAAATGGATGTAGTTTATGATTCAAAAAGTGTTTATCATGGTAGACGACAATTTACTGATGAATTAGTAGTTAATAATCAAGTTTTATTACTTTACTATTATTGATGTAGTTAGTTAGTTAGTACTGGTGGTAGTAATGATAATCATGCTGAATAAACTGTTTATAGTTTAAAAACTTTGAATGAAATATAAAATGATTCGACCAATAATAATAATAATAATATCCCGTCACCTTTTTTTTTATTTTATACTTTATGAATATATAATTTTTCTAAACTATGTTGACTTCTTGAATTAAAGTGTGTATCGTCCTAGTGTATTGAACTGACTCATCAGTAGGGGCAGTGTGCATCCACAAGATTCTGATATGTTCGTCACTAGGTACGCTTGAAGCTATTACAAGTTCACCTTAGTCGATAAACGTGAACGAGACAATGAACCAGCGTCCAGATAGACTACCTTGTATCTCAAGCTGTAAATAGAAGGCTTTGTAAGCGTAGAAAGTATATTCTACAAACACCCAGTAATCACAATACAATCAAGCACACAACTCTCCATCATAGCAACGTCCTTGGGACAGTTAAGAAAATAGCACACTAAAATACACAGCAGCCAATCACATCCATGGATTTTCCTGGTGGGAAATGAAATCTCAAGGTCAGCTGATCAGCCCATGCTCACAAACGTGAAATCCAAAATAAGGGGCATTTATCAAGCGAGTTTTGGGGATCTAACATCCCCAACATATTCGAATCCAGGAGCTTGAGTTTTGCGCGCAAACACTTAACCTCTGAACCAATGGGTCAGCATCCAACGAGTATTAATGTTTGACTTGGATCAATCTTCAGACCGAAGATGCTGGGTTCGAATCCTGCGAGGGGCAGAAGTTGTGGTTGCGCACTGCTACTGATGAGTCTAGTCGCATACACCAGAATGAAACGGCCTGCCAGTTTTCTCATGGTGTAATCTAGCAATGATTAACTGATAATTTCAATAGGTGAATTTTGTTGATCATGTAAATAGATCATATTTAAATTTAAATTAGTTAGTGTATTGCGTTGAGTGATTGATTCTACAAACCATTCCGAATAAGTAAACAAATAAATAGGTTGAAACATGCGGTGACATGTTGACAGTATATGAAAGATTTTCATCCAATATCCAAAGAAAATTATTGGTCAATTCCTATTGGTTCATTCCTACTGGTCAGTTTTACGGTCGTCACAGATATCAATGTCATGTATTCCAATGTTGTTTCTTATTGGTTGTCTTGACTATCAATGTCACTTCAAATGTTGCTTCCTATTGATCGACTTAAATGTCAATGTCACAGAATTCGATGCTGTTTCCTATTCGACCAAAATGTATAAATACGCATTATGTTTAACGTTTTATGACCACGACCAGGACCAGGACTCGGTCCCGGATCCCTAGTCCGAGATCCTGATTCGCTTCTGGATTCGGACCTCTTACTTTCTGGATGCTTGTACAATACACGTTCTACTTCATATCAAGTCTTGTCTTCTTTTACTAAATTTGGGGGTTGGGATAATCGGATTTGAGTAGTATGTCGTGTCGCCGGATCCTCAATCCTCGCTCTCGTTTTCCAACTAGGTAAACTCGTAATAGTTCAAGCATATCAACATGACATGTTTACGTGTAGGCGTATCACGTGTTGACTGTATGAAATATTGAAAGATACATGAACTTTGTTCACTATTGTTTATAATCAATTTGATAAAATGCAGATATTATAAATCTAAAAGGTTAACATTTGAGAAGCACAGACAGTTATTTTATGGGCTGACTTAATTTTGGTGAATTGTAATCAATATTTATAGTTGAATTAACATAAAAAAACAGAGTAAAACAGAGCAAAAGACATACATACAATATGAATGACAATGTTCAAGGTTACAAATGGTGTGTAATCGATGACGAAAAGTAAAATAGTATACAGGATAATAACCAAAAGTGAATGTCACAGTCACTACAGACTCTTGAAGAAAATCAAAATTTTTTACCTTTGATGGAGGAGATGAAACTTCAAATTCATCCAGATCTAGATAGAGAGAGAGAGAGAGAGAGAGAGAGAGACAAGTCCACCGTTTTGAAAGCACTGAATAGATGAAATCAAGAATTCTTTCTCACCAAACAAATGAGTAAGGAGTGTTAAATCTGAAATGAAATGAAGGATCTGTCTGACTGAATATGGCACTGCGGCGATCAGTGATAAAAAATGAAGTATATGTTTTTTGTGTTGAGGTCAACAAAGAGTTGACACTCAACGAAGCATGCATGGTCAAAGACGGCGATCATCATGTAAGTTTAATTTGAGGGAACGGGGAATCAGGAAACAATACGTGATGAGAATTATCATAAATAAACAGATGTTTAGAGATCGCACACGAAATGAATGTAAACGCTTAGTATTATCACATAGTAAAGTGAAATAATACCAAGAGCCATGTGCTCAAAATTGCTTGTCAGTGAATGAATATTAGTAAGTAGTATAGCACAAAATACAAAATAAGAGATGCGTTCAGAAATCACACTGCATTGAATTAGCTTTCTCTTTCAACCTAAATGAGAGACACCTATTCATGATACCATGTATTAAATCTCATAATATGTGTAAAGTTGACTAGTTCAGACTTCTTAACAGAATTTCAAGAATTTCTTCGCTAGTAAGCACAATATATTTTTGTTTCGTACGTTTGAAGAACAGCTTGACGTCACAATGACTGTCAGACAATCTCAAAGTGAACATTTTCAATACAAACGAAAATACCATTTTACTAAAAATAGAATTTTCAAGAGCTCTTATTCAAGTTAAATTGTTTACTTTTATCTCGCTCACTATGGATTCTAATCCAACTGGGAACAAAAACCACCATCTGCAGGGTGAATCCTATCAGTAAAGGCAATTTTAAATGGTAGTCATTCGAGACTGCTACGCATGCACATGACCACATACATCATTTGATATGTTTGAAATATTACTAGTTCACTTTAGTCAGTATATAAGAGTGAGACAGTGATCCAGTGACACGATAGGCTACTCTAATCCGAACGTCCCAAACCCCTATTGAATAGAAGCAGAAGAAGACTTGATATAAAGTAGAATGTGTATTGTACAAGCATCCAGAAAGTATCAGGTCCGAGTCCAGGATCCGGATCATACAACGCGTTACAGATAATGCATATTTATACAGTTAGATCAAATAAGAAACACCATTTGAAGTATGTGACATTGATAGTTAGGACGACCAATAGCAAGGAATTGACCAATAGAATTAAACTTACAAATAATGCTATTAGGCTAGTTGGTGAATATCCTAACAGACATATAAATTGTTATCATTTAACTTTTATTTTGTACTCAAATTATTGTCGATTAGTTGTTGCATACTAATTGTTAGGATATAGTTTCGAAACAACTTATTTCGGGTGCATATCAATTTCATACTTAGGATGCGTCACGGTCTTGTTATTCACGTAACTAATCAGATGAATTTTTCAGTTCAAGATATAGAAGTTAGATTAGCAATCAATCTTCAAGTCTCACCATAAGAAAGCATTAAACTTGCCATAGATGATCGCTTGTAGGTTTGCGCCTATTAACACTATTCGGATATATAGGCAATCATTTCATTGACTGGTGACATAGTTGCTCTTCCAATCTTATCATACCAGATAGCACAAGGTATAAAGTATACTGTGGTGAGCTTTACGTACAGTATGGTTCAGACACTGTGATCCAAGGCATCTAGCTATCATTTTTACATAAACCACCTCCATGACGTTACTTACTTTCCTGATTTCATCACAAGACAGCTCGCAAGATGATAGTAATCGGTGGTTAGAGCATCTTGAATGACATGGGTCAAAACCGTTTACTATGGCGCAGGTGCATCCATTCTTTGTGTTCTCGCAAATCCCAAATTTCTGAATTCTTCATCACCTTTATCTTTCTCTCTACTCTCTACTTCACTAGATTCTACTTCTTGAATAATATATTCGGGCCGTAATCTCTCCGATTACTGCTAATCTTTCTACTATTTCTACTACTATGAGATTTGAAGTGATAATTGCATCTCTGCGCTAATGTGGTATACCAACTTGAATGCTGATATACGTATGTAGTTGACGTTGACTGACTGACTGACAAGAGATCAGCACTTGAAAGATTATTTTGATAGGCAGATGAATAGAATGGAAGCTATCGTCAGTTAGCAATCAATCAACAGACATCTTTTACATACAAAACAATCATGACATGAATCCTTCTTCAAACAATCAATAGTCAAACGAAATTAGATTGTCGCTTCTTGAGAAACTGATTCATTGAAAATTTGGATGACACAAATTGTTACTTAACAATCTGCCTTCTGTTTAGTAGCACAGTGTCGAACATTCAAATAAACGTAATGCAAGTTATCAACTTGAGAATGTTTGCACAAACAAACAATTCAGTCACTGAAAACGTTGAATTAGGTATGTATTTTACGATACCACATTAACACCGAGAGGTAGTAAAACTATTAACAGTAACGGAAATGTTTAGGGAAAATCCAGTGAAGAATTGATAGGAGAATAAACGGTCACAAGGAATTCCGATGATTCGAATTTGAGAGAGGACAAACGGTGGGTGCATCTACAACACTACGACAAACGATTTTGAACCATGTCATTCAAAGTCTCTAACCACCGGTTACGGCTGTTTCGCACACTTCATCCATGTAGTCTACACCTACTAACATGGCTCAGTTCAGTTGTTATTCACCTCATGGATTTGTGTCATGTTTTGCTTTGGTGTATGCAAACTTTATTTCAGCCTATCTCACACCAGACAAAATCGATCAACGAGGCAGTCGGTGGTTAGGCATACGCAACACATGTCCCAACCCACTCAACTGATGAACACTCACTACTTTGTGAATTAAGATAACACTAACCTACGAATATCCACTACTCTTACTGGTCACGTTTCACGCATACAGTAGGACCGAACGAACTGCTAAGCAGTAAACTCGTCCTTTGATTAACAGACGGATATCTCTCCTACGGCATAAGTGACGCGAGTTGACAAAAGTTAATCGAGCCTTCTGCATCCACGCCGAGATTTCATCACACACTAGGCTACCAGGACCGATAGAAATCCCGAGATAGGTGAAGCGGTCAACATGCTGAACTACTTCACTCCCTACCACTAGCTCAGGTAACGATGCAAGCCAATCCTGAAACACTTTGCATTTCTAGGAGGAGAACCACATCCCGAACATGCTTGCATTGTTCCTTAAAGTAGTCAGAATAAGTAATCGATTACGATGATAGTTTGCCATAAGTTCTGAATCGACTAGTGGTATTCGAGTAGAGGGCCTGAACAAGCTTAATGTGCTTCTGTGGAACTCCTTCCAATGTCACGAAACATTACGATCGACAGAGTGAAATGCCACTTTAAGGTAAAGGGATACAACTATTGTTTATGTTAGAGGATCTGCCGAAACAGGAACATTTGGTATTTACATCCACGTCCAAGTCTGAAACCAGACTTGTTTTCTCTAGTCTGCTCCTCAAAAGCTTTAAATAGGCGTTGAAGTATTATTGAAGCTAATATTTTAATTGTTCTATCAGTTAAATTGACTCCTCTGAGATTGTCACAAGAGGACTTTTGTCCATTCTTAAAGACTGGGACAATCAGTGATTGAGACCAGTGGAATGAGATTACGTCCATTTCCTAGACTCTATCTTAAATTTCAGTCAGTCTGACTTCTACAACTACACTGTCACACTCAATTTCTCAACAGTTGATCTGTTAGGACCTGCTGCTCTATCTCGCTTTAGATTACCCATAGCCTTTACAACCTCATTCAGAGTTAGAGAATATACATCAGCTTGTTATTCAGGTTGACTAGAAATTGTGGGGTCTTGAAAAGTGGCTGAATGCCAGTTGAACCGTTCACTAAAATGTTCTGTCCGTAGATTTAATTTCTTGGATTGAGAAGGAATAATATGTTCATCTCAGTAACAGTCGGATTCTTAATACCGGTTTCCTTGATAAGGCTGAACGCTTGTCTATTGTTACCGATCGCCGCTACCTTTTCAATCTCTCTTGATTTCGCAAGACACCACTATTCGCAGTTATCGCGTAGGCCTTAATCAACCTGTGTCTAAGCTACCTTCGCTCCTCATTATGTTCAGTAGATGCTTCTGGAACCCACTATTTCTCTCTATCCTTTTGATTTAACTTACTGGTAGATATCACTACTGTTTCCACAGCTTTTCAGATATAGATACAAGATGCCTTAGGATGATCATCACTAATATGGCTGCTTAAATGTTTGTCCACTTGCTCCCGAAATATAATCGAGCTATTATCGTGAAGTAGAACTCTGATGGGTTTGTTTGATATGTCCTGTAAGATGCATGACTTGAATCTAAACATATGCTTCAGAATGAACGCAGTCTTCTACCGAGACTCTCCAGCTGTGACTGACAATCATATGGTCTAGTTAGGTCCAGCATTTATTTGATTATAAGTTGATATTTGCCAGAAACTGTAGGTTATATGTGCATTCCGACGAGTCACGACAACGTAAGATTCACCCATGTATCTTACCTTTTCGATCAGTCTACCTACTTTTGAGCATTAAATTCACCCACCATTATCACTACACCAGAGCGCTTAGCTTTGTATTGGATTGGAAAACTTCACTTAATATCTATGTTTTACCCCATCTGAACTGCAATCAACTGCAATCCGAAAACCTACTGATTTCGACAATTAATCAAGTCGAATTTCATAACATCTACACCAATGATGTACAGAAGAACAGAAAATGTTAGTTGATTAACGATAAAATATTCGCATCAACATGATAATGATAATTTCAGTCAGTCAGTCAACAGCGACGTAGAACTTCGTACGTACGTACGAACATCAGCATTCAAGTTGCCACACCACATTAACACAAAGATGCAACCGTCAATTCAAATCCCATTAAGTAGTAGAGATAGTAGAAGGATTAGCAGTAATCGGAAAGATTACGATTCGACGATATTATTCAAGAAGTAGAATCTAGTGAAATAAACTTCAAAAGAAAAAGGTGTTGAGGAACTCGGAACATTAGGATTTGCGAGAACACAAGGAATGGATGCATCTGCACCATGTTATTCAAGGTCTCTAACCATTGATGACTTTCGTATCGCTGACCCCAACCAGATAGCCTACATCTACCAACATGACTCAATCCACTTATGAGTGACTTCATGGATTCCTGACATGTTTTGGTTTGGCCAGCCTTACCTTTCTTCTAACCTACTCCTCTACACCACAAAACATAGCTCAACGAGGCAGTAAGTGGTCAGCCATTCGTGACCCAACCAGTTTAACTAATGCAGTTTCAATACTTCATCTATTAACCTGCCATCCTAACCTAGCTACCCGGTACTCAGTTGTCCCATGATACACAAACAAATACTTTGAACAAGAAAATCTATCTCAATTTTAAAAAGCTTCAATTTATTTATCATCAAAAAGTAATTGACTTATTTGCTTATTTGTTTGTTTGTTTCTGTGTGTGTGTGTATGTGTATGTTGTTCTTTCGCTCATTTTTATATAACATAATTGTGTATACACATATTACATAGGCCAGCATTGAATACCGTTCGATATAGAGTAAGAGATAAAAATAGAAGAGAAAAAAAGAAGTAGAAGATCAAACTACACACACACACAAACACAGAGAGACACAAAACATGTCGTTAAAAAAAAAGACAATTAATAATAATTAGAAGATGAAAACAAAAGTCAAAGATTGAATCAGGCAAAAAGGGGTCAGAGGCGAATAGAATATGAATGAAATAGATATTACATATTGTTCAGTGTTGTTTTTTATTTCTTAAAAAAAGCAACAACAATGCGCATGATGATGAACAGTTGAAAAAAAGACAAAAAACAGAATGCATTGAAAAATAATACTTACACACACGCAGAGACACGCACGAGGAAATTCAATAATCTACAGAAATCATCCATTGAAATTGATGAAATAATGAATGAACCGAGAGAGAGAGAAGAGAATATTACAGCAATAGGTATTCGTGTGTGTTATAGCATGATAATTTCAGCTACTACGTCAATTGGACAATTTTCATTGAAGCGTTGTTATCTCCAGTCCAGTGTAGTGTTATACACATGAAAAGTATCCAAGTATGGATGACTGATGAAGAGAGGATGTGAGTCGACAACAATGACAACAACAACAACCGCCTATGTGCAGTAGTGACATATGTCAATGAGTAAGTGACTGACTGAGTGAGTGAGTACGACGACAATCAATACAACAATGACAACAAGCCCCATAAACAATGATGATTGAAACAATGATCAAAAAAAAAGCCTGACTGACAATAAATCCGACTGTCTACAATACAATACAAACTAAAAATAAAAAACAACTGAAGAAACATTGCGTAAAAACCAGTAATTACGTCGATAGTTTGTTTTAAAAAAAAAACACATGATATTGAACCATTGAATACAGGAGAATACAAAAAAAAAGAAAAGAGAAACAAGAAATCAAAGTGTGTAAATCGAAAAAGAGCGGGAGACACAAATTTCATTAGTGCTAAATGTATATACGCGACAATGATGAGAAAATAATAATAATAATAATAATAATAATAATAATAATAATAATAATAATAATTACATAACTATTATGACGATTATGCAATATGAAATAGGAAACAAAAAAAAAAAGAAAAGCTGTTAAGGAATGATTATCAATATCCATTTATATATGTATATATGTATATATATATATATATTAGCTGTGGGCATATACGCAACTGTGTGTGTGCGTGTGTTGGTGTGTGTTTTAGTGATTATCTATGTATCCACCACTATGCTGACCTATGTTATATAGGTCATCGATCAAATATGTTAAACTGCAGTGACAGTAGTAGTAGTAGTAGTAGTAGTGGAATACTTTGTTCGATACATTGTTCAATATTCAACAGTGTTTATACATTGAATAATGATGATGTTTTAATAATAGTGATAATAATATGGCGGGAAAAAGGGAGAAAAAGAAATGATGAATAACCTTGAGTCCAAAGAGAACAATGATCTTGGCATACATGTTTAACAGCAGCAGCAGTAGGAGCAATAATTAAAACAGCGCGCACACGCACACACACACACACACACAAGAATTGTGAATACAAAAGCAATATTAAACAGAAAGTATAATAATAATAATAATAATAGTAATATTAATTTATCCATCAATAGTGAAGTCAACTAGCAACAGTATAAACTTATGCCATTTATAGTTTCGAATGAAAACAAAAAGACAATGAGAATGGCGTTAGATAGATAAACAAATAAATAATTACAATAAAAGCTGAAGAAATTGAAAAGAAAATCTTGAATAATCAATCAGTCAGTCAATTAAAAGACTGACTTGTATGTTACCACATAAATAACATATCATATCACCTAATATCAATTAACATGATTAAGTCAAGTATGCTGATTGTATGTATATATGTATATATACGTGTGTATGTGTATGTGTGATATATCAGCCTAGTTAACTGTTTAATCAACAAAATTCACAATAAAATAAGAAAAGATAATAGGTAAGTAAATATACAGTCACACATACACACACACACACAAATAAACGATTAAAATAAAATTCTATGAAGTAGAAGAGAAGAGTTCATAGGTATAGCAGTAGTAGTAGTAGTAGTAGTAGTAGTTATGCATTGTATATACTTGAGTATAACATGCCTAGAATTTTTTGATGTTCACCATAGACAATCATGGATACAAAGGAAAATAACCATTGAAAAAAGAAAACGAATGAAAGAATAATATACAGACAGAGAAAATGAAAATATTCAAGACTTCATTTTTAAACACAAAACTATTTTATATATGAATTCATAATTTTTAATAAATATATATATATATGCCCTAGAAAGAAAAAAAACATACAGACAGACAGAAGATAATGATGATAGATAAAATCACGCAAAAAGTTCAGTAATAAATTCAATCTTAATCAATGCAAAAAGAGAATTACAACTCCTGCTGTGTCTGCTGTGTAATCATCAATCATCTTCTTCATTAAAGAGTTGAATTTATTCATATCCAAAGCTGATTATGGGAAAATGTTCTTGTAACATTTATACTACTTGTTAGTAGTTTAAAAACTAATGTCAAACAAAAAAATAATAAACGGTGCATAAAGACACGAACGAATTCGAATCCGTCATTGCATCACCTATTGTATACATTTATTTCTATGTGAAGAATAAATCTAGAACGTAGACAAGATGTTTAAGCTAAGGAAGAAAATGCGTCATAAGGTTATTGATTAACATGAATAATTATATATGGATTTGTTTGTTTTAAATGTGTGCGCATCCGTGTATTGTAGGATTATTACAAAGGCATTATTCAATTATTTTATTTATGAGGAGTAAACATTCATGTCTTGTGTGTGTGTGTGTGCATTTTTCCAAATACATGTGGGGAGGGGGGAGAAGACAAGACAAAAAGAAAACTGATATTATGACTACTGACTGCAAATATTCAAAACTGTAAGAAGACCCAATTCCGAGTAAATTAACAGTAATTAACAGAATCACATGATAATGAGGGCAATGATTTAGTTAATAGGTAAGTAAATAAGCAAGTAAGTAAGTAAGTAAATAAGTAAGTAATGTAGACACAGATAAAAAACACAAAGCATTTGAAAAAGAATCAAAGAATTCAGTTAAATAACTTTGCATTGAAACAGATATATATATGTATATACACACACACACACACACACAATATTTATGAAATATTCGTAATATTATCAGATAAAATGTATACATTGGAATTTGACATTGGATTATTAGCTGGTCGACTTTCAACAATGATATTCCTGAAGGAAATAAATGAAAATAGAATATTGAAAGAAATGTAAAATAAGATAATCAAATGCTTCAATAATGGTATATAAGCAAATTTTAATTCCAACCAAGGTGAGAGTATCTATTTGCTAAACAAAGAGACGAGTCTGCTGCGCAGCAGTTCACTTTGTCCAACTATATGGATGTGAAACATGGCCAGTAAGAGTTGAGGATATTTTTAGGTTGTTACTATTCGATTATAGATGTTTGTCTTCGAAGCATTGTTCGTATATCATGGGATGACAGAGTAAGCAATGCTGTTGTTAGGAAACGAGTACTAGGTATGGATGACAAATCAATAGATGAAGTATTGAAACTTCATCAGTTGAGGTGGTTGGGATATGTGTTGGGTATGGCTAACCACCGACTGCCTCGTCGAGCTATATTTTGCAGTATAGGAGTAGGTTGGATGAAAGGTAGGGGTGGCCAAACCAGAATATGGCACAGATCCATGAATTCACCGACAAACGGACTGAGTCGTATTGGTAGATGTAGGCTACCTGGTTGGGCTCCGCAAGATGATAGTTACCGATGGTTAGAGACCTTGAATGACATGGCTGAAAATCGTTTACAATGGCGCAGGTGCATCCATTCTCTGTGTTCTCTCAAATTCTAATCTTCAGTATTCCTCATCATCTCTATGTTTCTCTTTCTAAAGTTATCTCACTGAACCATACTTCTTGAACCATATCTTCGAACCCTAGTCATCAACATTACCGCTAATACTTCTACTATCTCTACTACTACGGGATTTGAACTGACATTTGTGTCTCTTTGCCAATGCGGTATGGCAGACTGAACTGATGTACGTACTTACGTACATCAGTTCTACGTTGTAACTACTAACTGACTGACTAGAATTCAAACCAACGTTTTTCATC